TTCCAAAAAATCGATTTTTTTTTGTATATTTTGCTAGTATAACCTTATAAGAATACGTCCCTAAAAGAATTTTTCGGAATTTAAATTATTTTCGGAGTTACATCTAATTTAAGTTAAACAACTCCAACTGCGCGCGACTTGTCCTCAAACTTTGAACGCGTTTTTCTCGGAATTACTTTTTTAAAAGCGGTGTGCATGATATCTCAAGTTCTACTTAACCGATTCACTTGAAATTTTACACAGAGTTTCGTCATACATTCTGGTATCGCACTACGTTTTTTTTTTTGAAAAAAAAAATTTTTTTATATTTTTAAAAAATTCCGAAAGGTAGAAAAACAGGGGAAAAAACAAAACATTTTTTTTAAACAAAACGTAGTGCGATAACTACATTCTTCCTCTTTAATGATTATTAATTATTTTCCATTGCCGGTTACTGGAAGGATTTATCCCCTGCAGATACTTACATTAATTTTTTATGTATGTGATATTTGTGAAAACCCAATTTTCTTTTGTGAATAGAAAACCACACATTGTTATAAATCATATAAATAAAACAAACTTCATATTATTTAATCAGTGTATCGCATAAATTAATATTTAAACTGAAAGAAAGTACTGCAGAAAAAAAAGAAATTTTTTTTTTACATAATTCACAAGAATGTTAATTATATATACTTTTTATTATTTAAAAACTAATAATTTTTCTTTATTATGTATCAATAATAAAAAAAAACCTGAGTTTGAGAATAATTGAATAATAAATAACAATTAATAAAAATTATAATACTGCCTCGACCGATATCTTGAAAATTGTACGCTTTATGTTAATTTAAGAATTCTTCATCTTTGCTGTATAATAATTATAACAAACTTTATTATTACAAGAGTAATTATTTATAAATAATTATAATAATAATTATGATAAATTGCACATTTGGGTAGTTAATTTAGAAGAATAAAATTTTTATTAATCAATTACAAATTGTATAGCTTACTAATAAAATAATAACTCTATTGATTGAAACTAACTATTTGCACGGAAGTTAATTAAATCAATAAAACAATCAATTATGTTGGGATTGTTTAGTTAATAAAATATACAAGGAGCTAGACAATTAGCGGGTATGCTCTGCTATAATTTACAATGAAAGAAAGTTACATAAAATCAAAGATTCCATGTAATTTCATTTATAGAACAACTGAGTACAAAGGAAAGCTATTTGAATTTCCTGATAACTCTCGTTGTTCCGGCATTAATTGTTATACTTTTTCTTTGCTTTAAATTTCATTATTAATAAAATATTTAATTGCATTTATTATAAATAAATTTTATGTTAATTTAATAAATATAACCAAATTAAAAAAAAAATTTTTTTTGCTATAAATAATTTTTCTCTACGTAGAAAAAAAATTAAATTAAATCAAGAAAATGATTTTTAAGAATTTTATTGTCTTGATTTAAAAAAATTCTTAAACTAAAAAATTTTTATTGATTTAAATTAATTTTTTATAAATTATAATCTATATAATTAAGAGTAAAAAAAATTTTGTCTCCGGCGTATTAATATGATAAAATGAGTTTTTTAAATTAAGGGGGTATTCTGGCTTAGAAATTCCAAAAAATCGATTTTTTTTTGTATATTTTGCTAGTATAACCTTATAAGAATACGTCCCTAAAAGAATTTTTCGGAATTTAAATTATTTTCGGAGTTACATCTAATTTAAGTTAAACAACTCCAACTGCGCGCGACTTGTCCTCAAACTTTGAACGCGTTTTTCTCGGAATTACTTTTTTAAAAGCGGTGTGCATGATATCTCAAGTTCTACTTAACCGATTCACTTGAAATTTTACACAGAGTTTCGTCATACATTCTGGTATCGCACTACGTTTTTTTTTTTGAAAAAAAAAATTTTTTTATATTTTTAAAAAATTCCGAAAGGTAGAAAAACAGGGGAAAAAACAAAACATTTTTTTTAAACAAAACGTAGTGCGATAACTACATTCTTCCTCTTTAATGATTATTAATTATTTTCCATTTCCGGTTACTGGAAGGATTGATACCCTGCACACCAGGATGTGCCATTTTTTCGTCAATCCTGACTTTGCCGGTCTGCAGTTTTTGGAAATAAACGAACATAAAAAAATTTGTTCTTAAAACTATAATAATAAATATGTTAGTTAATAAAGACCCGGATACAAGTTAGTACGGCTGAAAAGTTACTAGGAGAGAAAAATCGATTTTCTTATTGATTATAAAAAATTTTCTTTACAAATTAGTAAAATATAGTATAAGGTAAAAGACCCCATTAGTGGCACTTTTTCTTTCAATGAAAAAATGTTCTACTTGGAATAAAAATTACAAATTTTTTTGATGAAGAGGTCTTAAAGATTATAAATAATATATTTATTATTTAAATTAGTGATTTAATTAATTGAATAAGTACCAAAATCAAAGAAAGTGTCAGTAATGGGGTCCTCGCCACTAATGGGGTCTTTTACCCTAGGCTTTTCATAATAAATTATGGCTAAATTCGAATTCGATAAAAAAAAAATGAATTTTTGTTAATTTTCTGTATAATTATCAAAAAATCATTAAGCGTCTTTAAAACTTCTATAAAAAAATTAGATAGTTAATAAAGCTTTAATTTTTTATTTATATCAACTTATTGACAGTTATCAAGTACAATTCATCAATACAATCATTATTTCTTAAACAATTTTCAATATTTTAATATTATTAAATGATGGATCTTCACTTTGCCTTAAAATTTTTAACAGTGTACACAAACAAAAAAAAATTAAATTTATTTTAAACATCAAATTGATATTTGACTAATGAAAAATTAACTTCAATATCAATACCAATAATCTTTTAAATAAATTACAATATATATCATGTACACGGAGAGAAAAAATTGGAAATCATTCCTATAATTTTAATGAAATATTTTCCTATACCATTTTAGGAGCGATTACTTAAATTATGGGAATTATACCCATAATTTTTGGGAAACGTTACTATAATTATGGAAATGTTTCCTAAAATTATAGGAACTATACCTATAATTATAACTGTAATATCGGCATGATTCCCATAATATATAGGAATGGTTCCCATAATATATAGGAATAGTTTCCATAATATTACAGGAACCGTTTCCATAATATTATAGAAACCATTCCTATAATATTATGGGAACCATTCCCATAATATTATAGGAACCATTCCCATAATATTATAGGAACCATTCCCATAATATATTGAAGCTATTCCATTATGGTATAGGATCGTTTCCAATAAATTATGGGTATGGTTCCCATAATGAATATAGGATTAATGCCTATAATGATAATTTTATTATAGGATCCATTCCCATAATTGTTGGAAAGATTCCTATAAATTTCTTTCCGTGTAATTTATAATTAATTAAAAAATTTGAAAATTCAGTTTTTAGTAAAAAAAGTTTTTAAATGACTTTCACATCTAGAATAAAAACCATTTAACAAAAATCTTAACTAAGAAGATTAAATAATAATTTATTATAATTTTAAATTATAATTGAATATATATTGTTTACAACTACAAGTATAAATATCATATTCTCAAATTAAGAATAGAATAGTCGCTGAAACCTGGGATATATATTCATATTTATTTTATTATTTACATATTTTTATTAAATCAATATGAGTGCTTTAAATTTTATTTTTTAATTTTGAATTATTCAAAAAAATTACAACAAATGTGAAAATTAAATAATTAAAACTTTATCGGGCTTATTTATATATTTAATTGATGGATGAAATTTATTTCAAATTGGATCTAGAAATGAAATAAATTTCACCGCATACAAATTGAATAAAAAAAAATTCATTACAATATAATTGCAAAATAATTATACTCAAATTAGTTACATACAATTATTTGGAATTAAATTTATAAAAAATGCATTGGAACATACTAACTGGCAGTTTAATTTATATTCATAGATATTGATATTTTATTTTTATAACTTCACATAATTTATAAATATTATTATTATAATTAAAAAAAAAAATAGTAATTTAATGGAGGGTAAATTTTTTAAATTATCCCTTGAATTACTTTTTCCTAAATTACATTTTTTAATATTTGATATATTTATAAATAATTTGAATTAAAAAAAAATATCAATTTCTATTATGAGTCAGCGTAATAATTATTTTTCACGATCGTAAGTTGCGGAGTAAAATGTAATTTTTTTTTATTCTGTCATAAATTCTATCATTTTATTTCTAATAATTTAAAACACTAGATTTATATTGTAATTGTTAAAATTTTTTTTTTTATTTAATACAATTGTATTTACTTCATGATTTTTTTATATTAATTATCCACTATTAATATAAGTGAAAAAAAAATTACTTGTTTTATTTAGTCGTAAGTCAACAATTACATATTAAATTAGTGTAATTATTTAAATTTTCAATCAGCAAATTTTAAACAAAAATTAAATTGTTTTTCAAAAAAATTTATAATATTTCAATTTTAAATATTTTTTTATACACATATTTTTTTTATTTAATTTTTCTGTACTGTCTGCTACTGAAAAAATGACTAGATTTTTTTTTTAATAATTCACATCTAGTATTTTTTATTAAAATTGCTTAGTGTTATATATAGATATATATTTAGCATGATATAATCTATGCTAAACAATAAAAAATTGAAACTTGCATTTTTAAATTCAAAGCCAATAATTTGTTAAAAATTCAAGTTTTTACACCAAGTAATATCAATAATATTTAACTACATGATCTATATAAATTGTATACTTGCAATTCTATAATAAAGAAAAATTTTCAGATATTACTATTCAGATTAATTAATAAATATTATAAGTATTTTAACTCCAATTAAAAAGCTATTTAATATCGCTTCCTTACGACCGGAAATAAAGAGCAGCTGGAGTTTCAGGATACAATTATGTAGTTTATTTTTATTTAAATAAATTTATTGTTATATTTTATCACTTATATTACACTGGCTCACTTTTTTGTCATTATCTTAAGGTACTCAAGGGCATTCTGTGCTGCTGCTGCTTGAGCATCTTTGCTGGTAATACCGCTACCATAACATACTGCGACTGGCAAAGTTGATAATTGCACAAGGCACTGGCATTTACCTGTAAATAAAAATAATAAATGTTTTTAATTTTAATATTTTTAAATATTAAAATTTTTTTTTAAAACACACACTTTATTAGCTTGTGTTAATTATAAATGCTAAAATTTTCTCAAATTTTAACAATAGAAATTTTTTTATTATATTTAAAACATTTTTATTAAAATAATTTTCGAGAAGTTTAAAAAACGTTAAAATTCATTATAGAATTATTGTTTGTAAATTATATTAAGTAATAATTTTTTTAATTAAAAAAAAAAATCTATTATTTTATTAAATTTTTTTTTAAATTTATGAAAAATTTCTATTTTATTAAATCCACAATTTTACTCAAATTTTAATCAAAAAAAAATTTAATTTAAAAAGATTAAAAATTTGCTCAGTTTTCAAGTTTGCAAAAACATTTTTTTAGTCAATTTAATTTCACACACTCTATAATAATAAAACATTTTTTTGTGCTTTTAAATGTGATCAACTTTCTCATCTACTTTTAATTGCTGTGAACAATTACTTTTATTAAAAAAAAAAAAGTGTCCCATTTTTACCGAAGCTTCTTTGCATCTTCTCAGCAATGATTGCTTTCAAAATAAATTAGCAACTTATAAAATCGATCTAATTGTATTAATATAAATGTATCATTAAAACATTTTTTATAATAATTAAATTAATAAAGTACTAAAATAATTAACTGAAAATTTAAGTCAAAATTTGTAATATTAAAGTTTTTAAATTAAATTTATTCTAATAAATTTTGATTGTCACTATAGATAGATATTTATTTTGCATTGTACAACAGTAAGAACTCTTTTTTACAATTTTTTCATCACAGTTTCTTAAAATTAAATCTGCATCTTAGAAATTATTTAAAGTTAATTGTCACTATAATTTTTACGGTATCATCAATAATTATTATTATTGTTAAGTGATCTAAAAGATAGAATATTAAAAAAAATAATTGTCGATTTATTAACTTTCGATTTTTTTTTTAACTGAAAATTAAATTCTCAAGAATCAAAATAGATTTTGAGACTCATTTGTTCGCAAATTTGTCTCTATTAGTATCTTTTACGTAATTAATTTATCAATTTATTTTTCAAGAATGTTTCATATTTTCATATTCTCATACTTTATATTTTCTCATTTCTTAGATAGTTTTCATTATAATACAGTCTAGTTTATATTCCAGACTTACTGTATTAACTTAAACTAGCAACCTTGCAGTCACTATGTGGCTACCGTGACTTGTGAATTATTAGCAAACAAAATTTTGCTTTATTCAATAATGACTTTTGTTAAATTACACTGTACTTTTTTAAATATTAACGTTTTTTAAGATATAAGCTCATGCCAATGTGACACTTATCTAGAGCTTTCATTTGAGTACCCACATGCATTTTGACATATTTTACATATAGGTATATTAGGGTGTGCCAAAATGTAACTTCGTTGATGGACCTCTTGGAATTGGAATTTTGAGTTCCGCTTTTAACAGGAGTTGTGTTTGGGCATTTCCTGACATATTTTGAAACTTCTGTTAAAAGCGGAACTCAAAATTCTAATTTTAAGAGGTCCATCAAGGAAGTTACATTTTGGCACACACTACTATATATACCTATATAATATACATAAATATACGAAATATATAAAAAATTGATGTGGGTACTCAAATGAAAGGTCTCGATGAGTGTAATGTTGGGGTGAGCTTCCATCTTTAAAAATGTCAATAGTTGATAAGATACAATGTCATTTTTTAATTATTGACATTTTTTAAGATATAAACCCATCCCGATGTTTCACTCATCAAGAGCTTTCATTTGAGTACCCACATGCGTTTTAATATATTTTTCATATATACATATATATAAAATATATGAAAAATTGATGTGGGTACTCAAATGAAAGATCTCGATGAGTGTAATGTCGGGATGAGCTTCTATCTTTAAAAATGTTAATAGTTCACAAGATACAAGGTCATTTCTTAATTATGTATCTAGAGATAGAGCATTTTCGAATGCAGCCTAAATACTCATAATAAATTGACCATAGGTAAGAAATTTCACTAAAAAAAAAAAAACAATTTTATCATATGACTATCATGGAAACAAAATTTTTCTTATTCTCTTAATAAAATATAGATTATATTATCTAAAATTATAAAAATTTTAAAGTTTACTTGTACTGCACCCTTAATTACTAAGTTGTACTCTGTATAATTTATTTTGTGACCCATATATTGGCCTTCTGGCTGTTGGGTCATTTTATAATGAAATAAATAAATAAACTCTATTTGAATGAAATGCATTTATAATTATTTTCATAAATAAAAAAAAGTGATAAAAAAACTGCAATTGTAGATTAAAATAACATATTAAATTTTTACTTTCAATCGATACTGAATGTCATGGATCAAACGATAACTATACCATAAAAATAAAAACAAGATTCTTAAATTAAATCAAAGTATCATGAGGATAAGTAAAGTAGCGATGGATGGAATAAAATTAGCAAAACGCGCTTTCCGTAATGAAGTGCAAGATGTAATCAACAGAATAAGTAATGAAGAAAAAGCGCGACAATCTAATGCTGTTTATAATAAGGTAAATTAATAAAATTTCTTATAATTTTTTGCTAATCTATCTTAACATATGTTTTGAGGTTAAATATGCTAATACATTTTTTCTTACTTTTGCAGTTAATTGCTTTACCAGAGTTCAAATCAAGTAAAAGAGTATCAATATACTTGAGCACTGACAATGAAATCAATACAATACCAATTTTGGAGCATTTATTTAAATTTAACAAACAGGTGTTTGTTCCTAAGTATGAGGGTAAAAGTATGATGATGGTCAAGTTATATACGATGAACGATTATGATAAATTGCCTCTTACTAAATGGAATATTAAACAACCTGCTACTGATGATACTACACGAGAAGATGCTTTAAAAACAGGTATTACAATAATTAAAAAGTAGTAATTTATAAAGACAAAAATTCTTAAAGAATTTTTGTTTTAAATAAATTTTTTTTTTCATTTTTTATTATTAATATTATTATTATTTCTTTAAAGGTGGACTGGATTTAATAATTTTACCAGGCGTTGCATTTACTAAAACTGGTAAGTTATATCAATGAAAATAAAATATTACAAGTAACTATGTACAACAAGAGTGATTTTATGCTATTCAGAATAATTTTATTATTATTAAGAAATATTTTTGTACTATCAAAATTTTTTTAATTATTCATAATTTTTATTATTAAGAGAATAAGAAAAATTTTGTTTCCAGGATAGTCATATGATAAAATCAGTTTTTTTTTAGTGAAATTTAGTGTCATTGCAAAGGTCTTGATTTGAATTTGTGCCTTTTCAAGGTTTCATATCATTCTCACTATACTCACTTCATATCATACTCACTATACTCTCTCGAGATACATAACTAAGAAATGACCTTGTATCTTGAGAACTATTAACATTTTTAAAGATATAAGCTCATACTGATGTTACACTCATCAAGACCTTTCATTTGAGTACCCGCATCAATTTTTTCATATATTTATATATATTATATATATATATATATGTATTATCAAAAATGCAAATGGGTACTCATTACACTCATCAAGACCTTTCATTTGAGTACCCGCATCAATTTTTTCATATATTTATATATATTATATATATATGTATATATGAAAAATATATCAAAATGCATGTGGGTACTCAAATGAAAGGTCTTGATGAGTGTAACATCAGTATGAGCTTATATCTTTAAAAATATCAATAATTAAGAAATAACCTTGTATCTTGTGAACCATTGACATTTTTGAAGATATAAGCTCACCCCGACATTTCACTCATCGAGACCTTCCATTTGAGTACCCACATCAATTTTTCATATATTTATATATATTATATATATTAGGGTGTGCTAAAATGTTACTTCCTTGAGGGACCTTTTAAAATTGGAATTTTGAGTTCCGCTTTTAAAAGCAGCTCTGTTTAGGTCTTTCCTAAGATATTTTGGGGTAAGACGATGAATTTGATTTTCATAGAATTTTTTAACTGGAGCTAAGTCAGGGCACTTCTGCTGAAAATTCAAATTTTTGCCGGAAGTGCCCAATTAAACCTCCTGCTAATAATTCTGTAGTAGTCCATTTCTTTAGTTTTATAATTTATTCAAGTTATAACTATACTCTTTACAATATTCGAATGAAGTTAATTAAATCTCACAATAAATAATCAATCCCGTAGAATATAGTTATCAGTATATGATACAATAGATAGTTCGTGTATAAATAATAATGTCAAGATAGTACTTCGCGATTACAATAATACGATAAGTAACATAAAGGAAAATAGGACCAGTGTCCTAGACCGTAGATGTGTGTGTCTCAGAGGCTGAGGAAAATCTGCCTCATGCCCCTTGACTCTTGAGGGTGTTAGCCTTTGCTAACACTTAGCGTTGTTCTTGGGGTCCCGTGACGTCATGAGCCCCTAGAATGCCGGGGAAGGGATTTTATGGCCCAAAGAGTACAGTGGTTGACGAAAAGTTTCGAGAGTGGAAAAATACTCCCACAATTCTATGAAAATCAAATCTATCGTCTTACCCCAAAATATCTTAGGAAAGACCTCAACAGAGCTGCTTTTTAAAGCGGAACTCAAAATTCCAATTTTAAGAGGTCCCTCAAGGAAGTTACATTTTGGCACACCCTAATATATATGTATATATGAAAAATATATCAAAATGCATGTGGGTATTCAAATGAAAGCTCTTGATGGGTGTAACATCGGGATGAGCTTATATCTTTAAAAACGTTAATAGTTAAGAAAGTACAGCGCAATTTAACAAGTTATTATTTAGTAAAGCAAAATTTTATTTATTTAGTGTTCACAAGTTACGGCAGTCACATAGTGACTGCAAGATTGCTAGGTATAATTTAGATTTTTAAAAAATTTCAATAACTAGTAAAACTTAATTCGAAAAAAAAGTGAATACAAGATTTTTTTTTTAAATAAAATTTTTAGTAAACTTTTTTTTGCCTTCAATAATATTTTTATCTAAATAGTTTTATATTAAAAAAAAAAAAAAATAATTATCTTAATTTTCAAACCCCATACCGACACCGCGTACATTAAAATTTATTTACAAACTTCCAGGAAAAAGATTAGGCCACGGCATGGGATACTATGATAAATTTATCGAAAATTGCATCAAGTTACAAGGAAGAAAACCTTATTTAATTGCTGTGGCTTTCAATGAACAAATAAAACATGATATTCCTACTACAGATAAAGATATGCCTCTCGACATGGTGATAACAGAAAATTCAACATAAGCTTATCATTAAAAATAATGAAATAATTATTATTATTATTGTTAAAATTATATAAATAATAAAGCCTTTTGAGCTTACCGCTGATTGATTTTTCTTCAATATCAACATAAGTTACTTCAAATAATTGTTCAGATGCTATTTCTTGCAAGAATTGAACCAAATTAATTACTCCATCATTCAGACATGTATTCTGAAAATGAAATATAAAATTATCTATTTATATGTAAATTATTTATCACTTGCATTGTAGTTGAATTTGTCATTTCGATAATTTAAAAAAAAAAAGTTTGGAAAATCCAAAAGTGCACGCCTCATAATCTCATTTTCCACAATAAAATTCATAAAATAAAATACAAAAAACAAAATAATACAAAACAAAAAACTCCTATGGTTTAGTGAAACACGCTCCATCTTATAGTATAAGCATCTTATGGTATAAGTATCTAAACCTATGGTTTAGAAACACGCTGCATCTTATGGTATAAGTATTATTCCGATCGATTCAGTAGTTTTCGCAGTATAACCGGACAAAAAATCTGGCTCTCTATTTATTAGTGTAGATAATTACATTCCAAATTTAAGAAATAGTATATTACATACCTAGGCCAGTAAAATAAGAAAAGTCTCAGACCACATGTAATTGTTGGCCGAGGCGAAGCCGAGGTTGACAAACATGTGGTCTGAGGCTTTACTTTTACACTTATCAACTAGGAGATTCAAAGTCTTTTAGCAAATAGAGATACGGCAATGTTTGCGTCTCATAGCGCATCAAAAGATATAGAATGAATAGTGTCCCGTTGCATCATTTGGAACCGGTCGGTAAAACTTGCTGGATTACTCGCAATGTTATCTCAAAGACTCTTAGACCACACTGCCAAGAAATAGAAAAATAAAAAATTTACTAAATTCTAGAAGTGTATAAACGGAAAAATGTTCAGTACCGGGTTTTATAGTCTCTTCATTCATTAAGATAAGGCTATATTAACTTAGATGAAAAACTATTTGCGATTAAAAACGATGAGTAAATAATAAATCATGCATCCTTTATTTACCTACTGTAAATTCATTGTTATTTATCACTTTTCTCTATGAAAATTAAAAATTTTCGAAAACTCAGAAAATTATTCATTGAATGAAATACTGATTAACTATTTCCGACATGTCTAAAAATTATTGACTCTACGATTTTATGATTATTCATCATATTGTTCATCAAATTCTAATTATTAATCACTCGATTATATTACAAGTTAGGTATAAAATATCATTTAACTATTAATTTAAATACCTCTGCCAAATCGAAAAAGATAAAGTTTCAAAGTTATCGATTTAGTATGGGATGCTTCCAATATTATAATTATATTAACATCATCATTCGCTTTATGGTGAATAAATAAATATCTTATATCTTGCTTTTTAAAAATATAAGAAAATTCGATAAATTTTAATTATAAATAAACTCTGCCAATTATATTCATTTAATTGAAGTTAAAAAATGGCTGTTTTTTTCCGTCACTGGCTGAACAGTTCATTGATATGATTAAAAAATTTCCTTTTGAGTAGATTTCATGAAAATCTAACTATAGTATGTAGTACTCTATTTCTTTAGTTTTATAATTTATTCAAGTTATAACTATACTCTTTACAATATTCGAATGAAGTTAATTAAATCTCACAATAAATAATCAATCCCGTAGAATATAGTTATCAGTAAATGATACCAATAGATAGTTCGTGTATAAATAATAATGTCAAGATAGTACTTCGCGATTACAATAATACGATAAGTAACATAAAGGAAAATAGGACCAGTGTCCTAGACCGTAGATGTGTGTGTCTCAGAGGCTGAGGAAAATCTGCCTCATGCCCCTTGACTCTTGAGGGTGTTAGCCTTTGCTAACACTTAGCGTTGTTCTTGGGGTCCCGTGACGTCATGAGCCCCTAGAATGCCGGGGAAGGGATTTTATGGCCCAAAGAGTACAGTGGTTGACGAAAAGTTTCGAGAGTGGAAAAATACTCCCACAATTCTATGAAAATCAAATCTATCGTCTTACCCCAAAATATCTTAGGAAAGACCTCAACAGAGCTGCTTTTTAAAGCGGAACTCAAAATTCCAATTTTAAGAGGTCCCTCAAGGAAGTTACATTTTGGCACACCCTAATATATATGTATATATGAAAAATATATCAAAATGCATGTGGGTATTCAAATGAAAGCTCTTGATGGGTGTAACATCGGGATGAGCTTATATCTTTAAAAACGTTAATAGTTAAGAAAGTACAGCGCAATTTAACAAGTTATTATTTAGTAAAGCAAAATTTTATTTATTTAGTGTTCACAAGTTACGGCAGTCACATAGTGACTGCAAGATTGCTAGGTATAATTTAGATTTTTAAAAAATTTCAATAACTAGTAAAACTTAATTCGAAAAAAAAGTGAATACAAGATTTTTTTTTTAAATAAAATTTTTAGTAAACTTTTTTTTGCCTTCAATAATATTTTTATCTAAATAGTTTTATATTAAAAAAAAAAAAAAAATAATTATCTTAATTTTCAAACCCCATACCGACACCGCGTACATTAAAATTTATTTACAAACTTCCAGGAAAAAGATTAGGCCACGGCATGGGATACTATGATAAATTTATCGAAAATTGCATCAAGTTACAAGGAAGAAAACCTTATTTAATTGCTGTGGCTTTCAATGAACAAATAAAACATGATATTCCTACTACAGATAAAGATATGCCTCTCGACATGGTGATAACAGAAAATTCAACATAAGCTTATCATTAAAAATAATGAAATAATTATTATTATTATTGTTAAAATTATATAAATAATAAAGCCTTTTGAGCTTACCGCTGATTGATTTTTCTTCAATATCAACATAAGTTACTTCAAATAATTGTTCAGATGCTATTTCTTGCAAGAATTGAACCAAATTAATTACTCCATCATTCAGACATGTATTCTGAAAATGAAATATAAAATTATCTATTTATATGTAAATTATTTATCACTTGCATTGTAGTTGAATTTGTCATTTCGATAATTTAAAAAAAAAAAGTTTGGAAAATCCAAAAGTGCACGCCTCATAATCTCATTTTCCACAATAAAATTCATAAAATAAAATACAAAAAACAAAATAATACAAAACAAAAAACTCCTATGGTTTAGTGAAACACGCTCCATCTTATAGTATAAGCATCTTATGGTATAAGTATCTAAACCTATGGTTTAGAAACACGCTGCATCTTATGGTATAAGTATTATTCCGATCGATTCAGTAGTTTTCGCAGTATAACCGGACAAAAAATCTGGCTCTCTATTTATTAGTGTAGATAATTACATTCCAAATTTAAGAAATAGTATATTACATACCTAGGCCAGTAAAATAAGAAAAGTCTCAGACCACATGTAATTGTTGGCCGAGGCGAAGCCGAGGTTGACAAACATGTGGTCTGAGACTTTTCTTATTTTACTGGCCTAGGTATGTAATATACTATTTTTCTTGACCCGTAGTAATCACACTTCTTAAAAATAACGCAGTGGTCATATTGGGTCTAGTTGACCCCATGCACGGAAAAAATTGTTGATACTTGCGTTCTTTTCATAATGACCATTTATACGTGTACTTTATTATCTTTTATACTATACTACCTTGGCATTGAAGTTAAATAATAAATAAATAAATAAATAATAAAAATTAATATTCAAACCTGTAACTCTGATAATTTATCTCCGGTGGAAGACTTGAGGTTCTTGTGAAATTGCGAAACTTTATGACTGTGAGGAGTGGTGAGTGTAGAAATTTTGCTATCTTTTAGTGTTGTATAGCGTGCAGCCAAGTTAATATTCCTCTCGACAATCTATAACGGATAAGTTTTTTATTTTACATATTAATCATTTGTTAATAATATTTTTTATAATTAATATAAATGAAGTGGAGAAACGGTATCAAGAAAAAATAGTTAAATAAATTAATTGAACATTCCGTTATAGATTTTGGAGGATGACATTTTTTTAGTTTGTTTAATTATTATATAGAAATCATCACCTCCACTTCACTTGTCACGTATTTTCACATTTTACTCGATATAATTTAATAATCTACTACTTACTTTATATTTTTAATAAAAATAATTTTAGTAAAATAAAATGATTATAGTTTAAATTTATTCACCTCATCGCCATCAAGACCACCTCCAGGGTTGGTTACTGGATCAGTTGTATCACGCAAGGCCTGCCACATTTTGTGAGCAGCTTGACGTTTTGCGAGCTTCTTACTTTTACCCTGGCCAACTTGTCGGTATTTTAGCATAGCACAGACGATCGTAAACTGACGCTCGTGAGGAAGGCCTGTTTCACCTTCCATTGTGTATTTCGGTGGTGGCCAGTGACGTGACATACACATTTCCTGGAGTGATCCGATTGGATTGTTTACAACTTTTTCTTCTCCGTAATTACCCTCTGCATCTGGTTGCGCACTTTGCAAGCTAAAATAAAATAAAGAAGAAAATTTTTTATTTTTTTATAAAAAATATAAATATTATAAATTATAAGTTATTTTTTTTTCTTTTAATTAAATTTTTTTGGTGAATTGTTTTTAGAAAAAATTTTAATTAAATTTATTTAGATATTTTAAAAATATATCAAAGTACCTATTTATAAAAAAAAATTGAAATTACACATCATTGTAAAAAATAGTCTGACAATTATTAGAATGTTGAACTTTAATAAAATCGATAATTATGATAAAGTAAAAATTAAATCTCTTTAAAATTTTTTAATTATTTAAGATAAGTTGTAATAAAATTGTATTTTATAATTTTTAAAAATTTATATTACAATAATTGGCTGATTTAAATCATTTTCAAATCCATTCAGACACTGCTAAAAATTTTTGTAAATTTAGTACACAGATATTTTAAATAAAATTCAATATCGAGTCCACGAAGAAAATGTAAGTTTAAAATCTATTTGTTACATTTAATAATCTTTGTATACATATTCTTCAAAAATTAGCTTATTATATATTTAGCAAGATAATGGTTAAATTACAAGACGAAAATGCGCTAAAATAAAATAACGAATTTTATAAAAAAAAAAAAAATAAACATTCGTAGACTAAACTTACAAAATAAACTCGAAAATTTTAATGTAATTTTAATAAAATTTTTGTGATCTTAATACAAATTTTCGGAATTTTAGTAAATAAAATGAGATTTTTAATTAAGATCAACTTTTTCAATTTTTACATACCCGAGTATGTAAAATTACATGACGTTCATCTATATTATTAAGAGAATAAGAAAAATTTTGTGTTCAGGATAGTCATTGCAAAGGTCTTGAATTTGTGCCTTTTTAAGGTTTCATATCATTCTCACCGATAGTTAATTTATTATGATAAATATTTAGGCTACATTCGAAAATTCTCTATCTTTAAATGCATAATTAAAAAATGACCTTGTATCTCGTGAACTATTGACATTTTTAAAGATATAAGCTCATTTCGATATTACACTCATCAAGACCTTTCATTTGAGTACCCACATCAACTTTTCATATATTTATATATATATATATATATTACATATATATGTATATATGAAAAATATATCAAAATGCATGTGGGTACTCAAATGAAAGCTCTTGATGAGTGTAACATCGGGATGAGCTTATATTTTTAAAAACGTCAATAGTTAAGAAAGTACAGTGCACTTTAACAAAAGTCATTATTTAATAAAGCAAAATTCTATTTATTTATAGTTCACAAGTCACGGCAGTCACATAGTGACTGCAAGGCTGCTAGTTTATCATTATTACCAATAATAATTAATAAAAAAAACTTCATTCTCTCAGAAGTACGGTCATCCCCAAATTTTAATCTTTACTATTTTTTAAAAATTCGAAAAAGTCAAAAAAAGTGGTAATTTTTTTTTTTTTTTCATTGCTAGGTGGGTTGGAATCATGGGTATCGTCATGTGCCAATTTTTTGAGACCCCTCCACTTCATCAGCTGCTAATTTTTTGAATTTTTTATTTTTTTCTGTATTCTTATAATATTAATAAATAACTTATAAAAAAATATATAGTAAAAATATTGATTGCCTTTTTTTCACGGCACTTTAAAAATTACTTGAAATTTTATGCTTCTAGACCAGAATACTCCCTTAATATAAATAATGTTTATCTACAGCATATGATGTTAACTTATTTTGGTGTATACTATCAGTTACTTATTGAGTTTCTATATCTTGTTACTGTATTAGTATATTATTATTATAATTTATTAGCTACATAATTTGTTAGCACTGGGGAAGAGTAAAGTGAGATGGGCTGAGAACACCGCTGTCCATTTTACAGCAACAAAGAAAGTTTATTTCTAATGTATATAACTCAAATTTGTGAAAAATACAACAAATTAATAGCAAATAGCAAATTTTTAATTTTATGCTACTAACCACTCCTACCACGTCTTCAAACGTGCTAACAGAGCTATTTAGATTTAAAATATGTAACTTTTTTATTGTGCCTTCTGCTGTTAGGTTATTTTATTTTATTTTATTTTACGCCAAGCGGCAATGTACATAAGAATATGAAATATAAAATATAGATTATTAAATTTATCAAATAAATTTAATCAAGTGATATTACATTACATGATGGTAAAGGGAGCAGATAAAAATGAAAAATTCTAAGATATAATTGCCAGTATTAGGTGGGGAAGTAGCAGAATTAAAAGAAAAAAGATTATTGTATTTATTTGTGTTCTGATTAGATCAAGAGATGCTTCTTGGTATTGTTATTAAATAAAGAAATAAATAAAAATAAATTTTTTACCAGACATATTATTAAAAAATTTAAATTATTCTCACAGAAATTTGCTTCAAAAAAATTTTTTTAATTTGTACTCAATTGCCTAAAAATTAATTGTTTAAAATTTCATAAAAAATTTCTATCCTTATAAAAAGGACAATTTATAAAATCTATTTAAAAATAATGATAGGTAATAAATTAATAAACTTACTCGTTAATGTTATTAATTTGCGGATCAACAGCAGCATCACTTGAATTAACCCCAATTAGTTTATCTAACACAGCTTTAGCCGCGGCGTGTTTAGCATCTTTTTTGGACCTGCCGGTCCCCATAGCTGAAACAATTGGATCTACTTCAATAATTTAATTGTTCATACATAAAATAAAATTATAAGCAGTATAATTCATACCCAAGTCACAAAAATAATGAATAAAAAATATTGTTTTTTACCAAAAAAATTTCTTATAAAAAAAACAACATTTACACCGATCGGGATAACAAAATATTTAGTTACAAGCATAACTTTAGTATACGAACCAACGACATCTGCAACGGTTACCCGATAACGAAATGTCGGTTCATGAACAGCTCCTTCTATCTGTACCAGTTCGTATTTTGGAGTTGTACCACGTCGTGATAACAATTCTTGAAGTACAGACACTGGTGTCTTGGATGGTAATGATTTCATTTCTAATCTTGCTGCTTCGTACAAGGGCAAAGCTTCAGACATCAATGCATGCATGGTAACTCTTGCTCTACCTCGACGATGAGAATTATTTGTTGAATGATTTAATACAGGTCCAACACCACCACCGCCACCACCAACAACCCCACCACCAACATTACCTGGACCAACTGGACCACCAGCAACTCCAATCACCACGTTACCAACTTGTTGACCATGTCGCATGTCTTCCATTTTTTCCTAAGAATATTAAATTTTAATTAATCATTTTTTTTTAAGTTCTAGCATCTATTTTTTTTTTTAATGACATGATACTAAAATTAGCCGACGTTCAACAATTTTTTATTTTTTTTATTGACAATTAATTTAGCAGGTATTTAATAATTTTTAGAATTTTTTTAACAGATAAATTATGACAAAAAAAAAATAGAAGAAAAAATTGACATGTAAAAATTTAAAAAATAAAAAATACAATTTTTAAAAAATAATTTTTTTGTCAAAAATTTTTCTGTTTTAATAAAATTAAAAAATTATCAATGATACTAAAGTTAGCCGACGGTTTTAATTTTTTTTTTATCATTAAATTAGAACAAAAAGATATTTTTTAAAAATTGCATTTACAGTTTTTAAAGTTTTTTACAAGTGAAAATTTTTTTGTAATAATTTTTTCAATTAAAAAAAATTCTAAAAATTTTTAGATGTCGGCTAATCTAATTTTCATAATTATCAACTGCTAACTTTAATATCATTTTTTATTAATTAAATTAGAACTAAAGAATATTTTTTTTTAATTGCACGTATAGTTTTTTAAATTTTCTGCATGTGAAATTTTTTCTTTTAACTTTTTAAAAATAATTTTTCAATAAAATAAATTATAAAAATTTTTCAGATAGCTAATTTAATTTTCATCATTGAAATTGATAAAAACTAAGTTAGCCGGCATCTAAAAATTTTTAGAATTTTTTTTAATTGAAAAAATTATTACAAAAAAATTTTCACTTGTAAAAAACTTTAAAAACTGTAAATGCAATTTTTAAAAAATATCTTTTTGTTCTAATTTAATGATAAAAAAAAAATTAAAACCGTCGGCTAACTTTAGTATCATTGATAATTTTTTAATTTTATTAAAACAGAAAAATTTTTGACAAAAAAATTATTTTTTAAAAATTGTATTTTTTATTTTTTAAATTTTTACATGTCATTTTTTTCTTCTATTTTTTTTTGTCATAATTTATCTGTTAAAAAAATTCTAAAAATTATTAAATACCTGCTAAATTAATTGTCAATAAAAAAAATAAAAAATTGTTGAACGTCGGCTAATTTTAGTATCATGTCATTAAAAAAAAAAATAGATGCTAGAACTTAAAAAAAAATGATTAATTAAAATTTAATATTCTTAGGAAAAAATGGAAGACATGCGACATGGTCAACAAGTTGGTAACGTGGTGATTGGAGTTGCTGGTGGTCCAGTTGGTCCAGGTAATGTTGGTGGTGGGGTTGTTGGTGGTGGCGGTGGTGGTGTTGGACCTGTATTAAATCATTCAACAAATAATTCTCATCGTCGAGGTAGAGCAAGAGTTACCATGCATGCATTGATGTCTGAAGCTTTGCCCTTGTACGAAGCAGCAAGATTAGAAATGAAATCATTACCATCCAAGACACCAGTGTCTGTACTTCAAGAATTGTTATCACGACGTGGTACAACTCCAAAATACGAACTGGTACAGATAGAAGGAGCTGTTCATGAACCGACATTTCGTTATCGGGTAACCGTTGCAGATGTCGTTGGTTCGTATACTAAAGTTATGCTTGTAACTAAATATTTTGTTATCCCGATCGGTGTAAATGTTGTTTTTTTTATAAGAAATTTTTTTGGTAAAAAACAATATTTTTTATTCATTATTTTTGTGACTTGGGTATGAATTATACTGCTTATAATTTTATTTTATGTATGAACAATTAAATTATTGAAGTAGATCCAATTGTTTCAGCTATGGGGACCGGCAGGTCCAAAAAAGATGCTAAACACGCCGCGGCTAAAGCTGTGTTAGATAAACTAATTGGGGTTAATTCAAGTGATGCTGCTGTTGATCCGCAAATTAATAACATTAACGAGTAAGTTTATTAATTTATTACCTATCATTATTTTTAAATAGATTTTATAAATTGTCCTTTTTATAAGGATAGAAATTTTTTATGAAATTTTAAACAATTAATTTTTAGGCAATTGAGTACAAATTAAAAAAATTTTTTTGAAGCAAATTTCTGTGAGAATAATTTAAATTTTTTAATAATATGTCTGGTAAAAAATTTATTTTTATTTATTTCTTTATTTAATAACAATACCAAGAAGCATCTCTTGATCTAATCAGAACACAAATAAATACAATAATCTTTTTTCTTTTAATTCTGCTACTTCCCCACCTAATACTGGCAATTATATCTTAGAATTTTTCATTTTTATCTGCTCCCTTTACCATCATGTAATGTAATATCACTTGATTAAATTTATTTGATAAATTTAATAATCTATATTTTATATTTCATATTCTTATGTACATTGCCGCTTGGCGTAAAATAAAATAAAATAAAATAACCTAACAGCAGAAGGCACAATAAAAAAGTTACATATTTTAAATCTAAATAGCTCTGTTAGCACGTTTGAAGACGTGGTAGGAGTGGTTAGTAGCATAAAATTAAAAATTTGCTATTTGCTATTAATTTGTTGTATTTTTCACAAATTTGAGTTATATACATTAGAAATAAACTTTCTTTGTTGCTGTAAAATGGACAGCGGTGTTCTCAGCCCATCTCACTTTACTCTTCCCCAGTGCTAACAAATTATGTAGCTAATAAATTATAATAATAATATACTAATACAGTAACAAGATATAGAAACTCAATAAGTAACTGATAGTATACACCAAAATAAGTTAACATCATATGCTGTAGATAAACATTATTTATATTAAGGGAGTATTCTGGTCTAGAAGCATAAAATTTCAAGTAATTTTTAAAGTGCCGTGAAAAAAAGGCAATCAATATTTTTACTATATATTTTTTTATAAGTTATTTATTAATATTATAAGAATACAGAAAAAAATAAAAAATTCAAAAAATTAGCAGCTGATGAAGTGGAGGGGTCTCAAAAAATTGGCACATGACGATACCCATGATTCCAACCCACCTAGCAATGAAAAAAAAAAAAAAAAATTACCACTTTTTTTGACTTTTTCGAATTTTTAAAAAATAGTAAAGATTAAAATTTGGGGATGACCGTACTTCTGAGAGAATGAAGTTTTTTTTATTAATTATTATTGGTAATAATGATAAACTAGCAGCCTTGCAGTCACTATGTGACTGCCGTGACTTGTGAACTATAAATAAATAGAATTTTGCTTTATTAAATAATGACTTTTGTTAAAGTGCACTGTACTTTCTTAACTATTGACGTTTTTAAAAATATAAGCTCATCCCGATGTTACACTCATCAAGAGCTTTCAGTTGAGTGCCCACATGCATTTTTGATATATTTTTCATTTTTAAATTAATTCACTAAAGTTAACTATTTTTTATATGAACACATTTTACTAAAATTAATTAATTAATGTCTAAATTTAAATAATAATAATAATAATAATACATTTTCAGTTAATCTCAAAATTTCGTTTTTAAAAATTGGTACATGTGTTTATTACAATTTTTTTTTTGTTGTATAAAAATTTATCCTTTTTATTTTTAAATAAATTATAAAAAATTCGAAATTCTGTTCTTAGCTTTCAAAAATTTTAGTATAAATATTTAAATAAAAAATTAACAATAAATGCAAAGTAATTTTCTAAATTTTTATAAAATCAACCACGAAAACGAAAAAAAAAATTTTTCCGTCATTAAAAAGGTAGTTTCAATTTTCTAAATTACATTATTATGCAAAAAAATCTTAAAAAACTTTTTTTACCTAATCAACAAATTTCAATCAATTAAAATCTAAGCTACTTATCATAAAAACCTAAAAACGATCTCCAAAACAATTCTTCCTTATAAAATACTAAAAAATTACAAAACACCAGCAAGTAAAATAAAAAATGACTGATTGTCTTAGACAAAAAACAAATTAGCTAACTCAACCCAAAAAACCTAATAAATTTCCGCCATGATCATAACAATCAACGAAGACCATCCATTAAACGGATGACTGCCTTTTCCTTCTCCATAAACATCTCCATAATTTTCCCAAATGAACCCAGTTTTTTTTGTACTGCACCAGCATATTTTTGATTAAGTTCTCTCTCAAGTCCTTGTAAATTTTCTTAGCTTTCCCGGCATACGGTCCGGGAGTCTCTGCATACCAATTGAGCGCTCTCAGCGTCAAATAATTCAAATTAATCCAAATAGGTCCTCTCCAATAGGGCGCATCGTGCTCAGTATTGTACTTGGCATAGAGCGGAGAATTTTTGGCGAGCGACCTGAGCCCGAACTTGGTCCAGAGCAGCTCGGGCTTGGTCAAGTCCATCAGAATTTTCTCCAGATGCGGAGAATCCGGTTCGACGACCTGCAAAATAAATGGAAACAGCGACACGTATCCAAAGCTCGAATCAACAAATTTAAGACTCGGGTCCTCTAGCACCACTCTGATCAGCTCCGGCGAAGCTGGAGACCTGGGAGGCGCACTAGGTCTCCTCAGCTCTACCTTGTCCGTATGGAGGCCATAGTCCGCGTAGGACTGGCTGGAAGGCGACCAGTGCAGCCCGTTGAGCACCTGGTTGTCCGTCAAGAATCTGTGGGTGTCCCGGTACTTATCCGCCGGGTGGTGCAGCAGCTCCGAGAGCCTCGCCATAACTCCCGCAGCGAAAGCGATCCAGCACCTCAAATCGACGTGTCTTTCATCGACATTCGGGTGCGAAGCTCGTGGGTAATCATCAAGCCCAGAAGTCAGCGTTTTTGGATTAAGCTCTCGGTTGGTCAAGCTGTCCCGTCCGCGCCACCTATAAGTTCCCGGCAAGTCTCCAACTTGCGTGGTGTTGAACCACTCGAACCAGGCCTGCAATCTCGGATACAATTTATCCAGTAATTTGTAGTGCCTGTCCAGCAGCTCCGATTCTCTGGAGTTCAAAATATACTGCAAGGTCAAGAAGAAAGTCGGAGGATTCGCATTGGTGCTGATCTGGGTGACAAACTCCTCAGGAACCTTCGCCAGAGCTTCCGAGCCCAGGATCATCTCTCTGGGGATCCAGCCTTCGGAGTTCATCAAGTCGAACCAGTGACTCATTATGTCCATCTCGATGTCCAGGTCCCAGGTTGCGACCAGAAGCCCATGGAAGCCTTCGTCCCAGAGAAATCCGCGGGGAAAGAAACTTCTGCTGGGCACTCCGGTGTACAGGGGAGCCTTCCAGTAGGGAACTGGACTCTTGGTGTGAACACTCTGGACCTGGGAGCTTCCGTAGAAGTACCCGATGCTTCCGATCAAATTTGAGAACCCGTACTTGGCAAACTCTATCGCGTCTTCCTTGAAGCCTTTCTCTGTTAGTTTGAAGATTTTCTCGAACTTGTCGTTGAACCGCTTTCGCTGCTCCCCGAGGGCCAGGTCGAAGTTTTTCCCGGTGAGCTTCTCTTTGCGCAGAGGAACACTGCCAGATTCAAAAAGAACTTCGAACTCGAAAGGAACTCGAGCGGTGACCTGGGTCGCGCAGAAATTAGGGTCCGTTTTCTTCCCTTCGTTGTCGAGAGGAAGTTGGTCGCCTCCTAGGACAATCCGCTTGACGTTCGAGACTTTTTGAGAGGCGAGTCGTAAATTCTGGAGGATTGTTTCCTTGACGAGGTTCAGACCTGGCAATACGGCGATTAGGAAGGAGTGCTCTTCCACGGTGCCTTTGGTAGGGTTCATGCTGAACCTGTAGGCACCTAAACCGTCGGTGTAGCCTTCCATGCCTGACAGACGGTTGTCTGCGCCAAGAGATGCTTTTATGTTCCCGGTGGACTTGTCTTCTAAGGCGGAGTAGAATATGAAAGATATTTCTTGGGATTTCTGGGAATCTTTGGGCTCTGTGTCATTGGAATTTAGTGTAATCGGAATTCTATCCTATCGAAAATTCATATCATCGATAATATGAGTGATTGGATTCTGGGATATTTAAATCTGGGCAATTGGGATCTACTCCATCGACAGTGTAGCCAATTCTCTTCTGGGCAATAGAGGTCTACCCTCCCTTATAGGCAAGAACGTAGTGCCCGCGTAAGGATATTATTTTTTAATGACGCATGCGCCTATTTAAGCTTCCAGATGGTGGGAGAAAGAATCTAGTGGGAGTGAATTCCCAAATATAGAAGTTGTTTTACCCACTATAGTCCGAACTATGAGTCGAAGATAGCTCATCTGATAGTGAGCTTGGCTAGGAACCAGGCGATTCGGGTTCGAGTCCCCGGTTTAACAATAAAATATTAATTTTTTGCGGCCGAATGAGAAAATACCCAGAGCCTAAAGAATACTACTACTACTACTACTACTACTAGTCCGAACTATGATTACGACCAAATTCAAGCTGAGTTAACACATACACGTGCTTCGTTTTTCTTACTCGACAAATATCCATTTTTTGTCCGCTAATTTGCGCATAAATAAATGATTTATAAATTATTAAACGACTCACAATGTCCAGAGAAGATTGGTTACAAATTTTTACCCCGAACCACGAAATAAACAACTGGATTGATAGAGATCTTGCCTAAGTAGCATTTACGTGATAATTACTGGACTTTCATTAATTGATATCTGAAATATTTAATTTAACTGATAATATTACATTAAATTATTTTTTTTTTTGTTAATCTTAATTTTATAATTGCAGTGATTTCCGTGGATTCGTGGAAAATATCGAAGGCATGACGACTGAAAAATATCATGAGTTCGGTAGTAGCCATCTACTATACACAATCATTGCTAACAACGGTAGTGGTTCTCGGGTACGGATTTGTTTTCGGAACTCAAAGGCATTGAAATTTAATGGCAAATTTCGTGAAAGAATGGTAAGATTAAGTTTTTCAGATCTTATATTTCCAATTCCCTTTAACTCCAGTTAGGAACTGTTTGATTTTTTATATTTTTACGTTCTCTGATACCATACTGTTTACATTTTTCAGATTTTCATAATTTCGAGAGGAATATGTGAACGACCAGAAGAATTTAACGCGGCTAATGGATCTATAGTCTGGGAATTGAACGTGCGTGATTGTTCCGACGTCATGTTTAGACAAGATACTTTTGATGAAGTCGAAGACTTAGATTTAAATAGAATACAATTGTAACGCCAAGAAAAAAAAATGCGTGCGTACAAAGTACACTACATGTCAAAAGTGAAATTTCTTTGGCAAACTAATTTTTAAAACTCGTTTATTTTCTTTTAAGCTTTAGATTTCCGAGACTCAGAGGGAGGGAAAAAAAAGATATGTTGGGAATTTAATTAATTTAATTGAAATTAAAATAATAAAAGTCCCGAAAATTAATACATATATACATGAAAAAATTAATGTGGATACTTGAATGAAAGGTCTCGATGAGTATAAAATCATAATGGACTTATATTTATGAAAATGTCAATAATTAATGAATGATAATGTATTTTGTTAACTAATGATGTTTTTAACAATATAAGCTCATTCCGATGTTACACTCATCAAGAGCTTTCATTTGAGTACCCACATGCATTTTTTATATATTTTTCATATATACATATATATAATATTAGTTATTTATGTACCTTGGGCGAGCCACGCACCAATACGGTCGAAGTGATAATCCTCGTGGTCTCGGAATTACTCGTAAATCATGGTGAAATTTTGGTGGGATCATCGTGGAAAGATAGTGAACTTAGGGTAAAATGACAGTGAAATCACTGTGGTTTTGTGCCATTTATTCACTGTAATTTTATTATTACCCAACAGTGATTTTATGATGATTTCACCATCGGTTTATAAGTAGGGTCACAATAGTATTACGGTTAATTTACAGTAGTATTGCTGTGAGTTGACAATAATATTACTGTGTATTTACAATGATTTCACCATCAGTTGATCCTGGATCTGCAATGTTTCAGTCATGCTTTTTTGGTAATAATACTGTTCATCTCTCTATACCTCCACCTATCATCTCTCTACGTGTAAAAGATGCAATTTCGAAAATTAATTACTCAAAAACGGTGCGGTCAATTGATCAGAAATTTTGGTAGTGAATTATTTATATATTTATCTTTCGATAAAAAAAATTTCATAACTTTCTGTTGAAATGGCTTTCACGCTACAACTACCTTAAAGACTGACGCGCTACTTTTTTTTTTTTTTTTTTTTCTAAAGAAGTTTATTTGCTTATGAAAATACATTTTTTTTTTGTTTACATAGTTGGCTGCAATAATATACTTAAAAAATAGCCATACATGTTCAATTGTTAAAAACATGTCAAATGAATCGAGGCAGGCTAACAACCTGAACTTATTCCCATAATATTGCAAATTAATTAAAAACGTTAAATTAATTAAAAACGCAAAAAAATTAAAAACGTCGGTTAACTTTAGTATTATTACTTTTTTTCAATTTTCACGTATGTATATGGAATTTTTTACTTAAATTTTTTTCATAATTTTATTGCTATTAAATTGAAAAAAAGATTTTAATGTCAGTTAACTTCAGTGTATCTTAAATTTTTTGAAGAATACTTTTCTTCAATTAAAATTTTTTATAATTAAAATATTTAATCATCTTAATACTTAACTCATAAAAACTCTATCTTAGTCTTAAAATAATTTTATATTTATTTAAACTTACACATATAAATTATAATCAATTTCATATCACACTTATCTATTTTACATTTCTTCCAAATTATTTTTACATATTAATAATTAAAATTGACATTTAACAAATATAAACTAAAAGTTTTTACAAAACAAAAATCTCAATTTTACAAAAATAAAAAAAATCTTTCACTTTTTTTTTTCTTTAACCTCTTCATAAAGAACAAGTACGTCTCCATTATTGCTCAATATTTCTTACGTCAAAGGCGGCCATTTTTTATTCTTAGCCATTTCATCTTCGAGGGCCAAAAATTTTTTTTTAGTCTTTCTATTACCTTGACAACAATTGTTTAATTTACCAGTTATCAAATAATCAATTACAAAGTACTCAACTAGCAACGAAACAATAAGATTAGCCGCGCCATACAGAACTAAGCTCATTCTGAAGGACATATCCGGCGGCATCATCAGCTCAAACTGTTCCACTAGCCATTCCACCGGACAAAGAGCCAAATAAGTAGAAAACAGTGACAGTAAAATAAAAGACGCCAGTAGTCCATGATTGGTGAAGATACTTTTCCTATACGGGTGTCCTTTTGAAAAGGTAGCCGCAAGAATAATATACTGAATTGAACTGATGATAAAAATGGTGTAATTTTCAAAACTAGAAACATCATCTTTATCTTCAATCCCTGCAATATTAAACGGCTTGTACCAATCGTACTGTTTGAGACTCCAAAAGCTCAGCCATTGGAAAACAGTGACAATAATCATTTGCGTCGTGATGCTGAATATTGACGCCATGCTAATTAAGCTAGTAGGAGGAGACTTGTTCACTAGCGGGCCATTGTACGCAGCGGTTAGTGGTAGGAACACCGCAAAAGTTGAAATGACAAATAAATCTATGTATAAGTACTCAATATCAGTCAGATTTAAGTCCATCGAGTACAAAATCATGACCGAGACGAATTGGGTCAAAGAATAGGTTGCCATGAATTTAAAAATCCCAAAAGAAGTGACCAAAGCAGCGCGACCTTCTCTAATCACAGACAGCAAGCAAGAAATGTTAGTCTCTTTGCTAGTGAACGGTGAAGCTACTGACGATTCCGTATCTGAAAGGGAAATTCCGATGTGAGCGGCTTTCAAAGCACCGCAGTCATTAGCTCCGTCGCCGACCATTGCTACGTAATATCCAAGACCTTGCAATTCTTGGACCAGCTGTTGCTTTTGATCCGGAGACATCCGTGCAAAAATCTTCCCGCGGGTTACAATCTTCGGAATCAGCTCCGGGTAGAACTGTTTGATGATTGCCCAGGCTTTTCCGTCAATTGCAAAGACGTATTTATTGTCTGAAAGAGAAATATCGTCGGAAAGAGAGAGATCAATATTTACAAATAAATTATTCTCTGCTGAACCTGCCACAGATTTGTTCAATTCACCCCTATTGGAAGCCACTGATGATATTCTGTGATTGCTTCGTGTAAAATGCAAGCGAGGCTTCTCCTGGCCAATTTGGACGGCATTTACGGTGATAACTAGCACGCTTGGGTCCACCATGTCACAATCACGGGCTACAGACAGTGCTGTGAGTATGTTATCACCAGTAACCATCACGGTTTTTATTGACGCGCAGTTCAGCGCTTTTATAACAGGAGCAGTTTCTTGCTTTAAACGATTCTCAAGGACTATAAAACCCAGAAAATAAAGATCCCTTTCACCGAATTCGCGATCTAGGCGCTGAATTTTGGTGTAGGTTAATTTATCAAGTGGCTTGTGTCCGATAGCGATCACACGGTAGCCTTCAGAGGTGTATTCTTGAAGTACAGATGCAAAATCAGAAGGAATTGACTCCGGACGAGAGAGACTTTGAATTATTTCCGGGCTGCCTTTGCAGTAGAAATCAAAGTGCTTGGCACCGAGAGTCCGAGTGATGACACTCATTCGTTGCAAGCTTGATGCAAAAGGGTACCGTCTGACGATCCCGATTTGTAACCCTTGATCCTGAATTTTTAGCAAAGTTGAGTCCTTAGGGCGGACGACCGGAGGGTGTATCATCTGAAACTTGGTGTCATCTGGTACATTAGCTTCTTCAAAGCTCCAATTGGTTGATTCGAACATTTTTAAGTCTAGAGGATCTCCAACCAATGATTTGTCGATTGTTGTTATTTCATGGCACGAAGCCATACCAAACAGCAATTCGGCTGCAGGTAAGGCGACTATTGACCTTACTGACTTGCCAAATTCCTTTCCCACCACCGGAACCACTCCCCACATGTCTAGACCATCTTCAGTGAGCGTTCCTGTTTTGTCGAAGCAAATGCAGTCGACTGAACCGGAAACATTGATTGCTCTAGGACTAGTGCAGTAAATTTCCCGGTTCTTAAGCCGCTTTTGGGCAATCATCCGACCTACTGTCATAGTAGCAGGAAGCGCTGGAGGAACCATGATTGTAATTAGATCCAGTGCTTCTAAAATGATATCCACAGCGGGTATTCCGTTGATTGCTTTGGTGACTGCAGTGTAAACAGCTCCTATTACAGCAATACATGCGAAAATCCCAACAAATTTATAAGAGTCTTGTTCGAATTCGAAATCCACTGGCGGTGGGTACATTATTGAACGCACTAGACCTCCCTTGCTGGTGGTGAATCCTGTGCGAGTCACTACCGCAAGAACTCTTTCTCCGCCAAAGAAACGGGCTTGGATAACTTTGGTTCCACAGAAGAGGGTATGGCGTGCGTGGTCTTTAACGTCGTAGATTAGGTCCGGGGACGACGGAATCGGAATTTTGGTCACTGGTACTGATTCTCCGGTTAGCATTGATTCGTTGAGAATGCAAGACCCTGTGAGAAGAACCGCGTCGCAAGGCATCAGACAACCGTGGTGAGGAATCACTAGGATGTCGCCTGGCGTCAATCGGTCCGATGGGATAGAATCGGTTTTTCCGGTCCTTCGGTCGCGTAAAACTTCAGCTACGTCGGATAAGTTGACGGTTGAGTTCAGTTTCTGCTGGTTCTGTAATAAGTAATTTGCTAGTTAGTTTTGGATCTATTGATGTTAATATTAGAGTCAGATGGGGTATGTGCATGCGCAAAATTTACAAATTACTCGGGAAGCTTTCAATCACAACAATGTTAACTCTAATTTTTCAAAATCTTCAATTTTTTAACATTACTTTCCACATTCTAACAATTTTTTCACACGGGCTCGTATTTAGAAACTTTTAAGTATATGACATCGTTTAGGCAGGTAATTTACTATATTTTATCCAATATCTTATATAAAAAAGAAATGAAATATTTATTTTAAATTCAACACAAATAGGAACAACGATAAAACGATTAACTGATCCATTAACATTATAGAAATCTTAATCCTAAGAAAAAAAAACATTATTTTGGCAACTGCGACTTGCAATTGAGTATTAAACAGTATCAACGATATATTCATAATGTGCCATCGATTTAACGGAATTAAAATAATTAAAAATTTACAAATTACTCGGGAAGCTTTCAATCACAACAATGTTAACTCTAATTTTTCAAAATCTTCAATTTTTTAACATTAGTTTCCAAATTCTAACAATTTTTTCACACAGTACTTCCGCAAATGCAAAAACAACCTTTTGATCCAAAGCTCCTCACAAATCGAAATCTATTATCATGAAAATAATAATATTAAAAGTGTATACCCGCACATCAAACATAATACATAATATATAATAGCCGCTGTTTAAATTATCATAAATTGGATAAAAGAACCCTAATTATGCATAGAGTCACGTGGAGTAACTGTGCGCAGCGGGTAAGTGTGCGCAACCTCTTTATTTATCAATGGGGAGGGGGAAGTTTGTGATATGTGTAGGCAAATTAAAGGTTTGTTGGTGGAAAATTAGCTTATGCAAGAAAAACCCATAGGGTATCATTCGTTTACTTAAAAAGTAAAATATTAAGAATCTTGTGGCGTAAAGGTAAAATTTACTGTCAAGGCAAAGATTGTCACACTATACTAAGGATAGTAACTAAAGTAAATTAATTTTGTTTTCTGTTAATAATGTACTTGAGCTTTTTATTTAGCATAACATTTCAAGTTATGTTATGTCTCTATAAAGTTATCTAAGTATTATTAAAATCAGTCTGTTTAGTTCCCTTAGCTGCGCAAATTTACCCCCACGAGTGCGCACACTTACCTTTAGTACGGGGTAAGTGTGCGCATTTTTAATCATTGGATTACTCTCTTTTTTTTGAACTGTTAAAATTTAAAATTTCATTTCTCAATTTAATTGTTACCTAAATAAATACTTAGAGCCATATTTTTATTTTCCCGATGCTTGTTTAATTTTGACACTAGTTTAAATGCTTAAGCGCACACACTTGCCCCCATGACTTATCATAAGGTAATATTTTATTTACTTACTTGGCGGGTTTGGTGAACTGCCATTACAATCCCCATGAAAGATACAGTCATAATTGTTAGAGCGTAGTAGTAATAATTATCGGCGGTCCATAGGCAGAAACTTAATAATTGAAAGACATAAAACGGGCTCAGTGCTTCGAGACACAGTAAATGAAGAAAACTTTTCAAGGGGATTTTTATTTCATTATTCCCATAAATACTGTTCCTGTAATTAAAAAATTTTATTATTACAAAAAAAAGGTTGCAAAATTTTTGAAAAATATTTTTTTATAGTAAATTCAATAAAATACCTCATGAATTGATCTTGGAAGCTCAAGCCCGGCATTTGATGTAAATTTGACGTAGGGACATCAATATCCAAACCAGCAAGTTTTGAAAACTTTTCGCACTCAGGATCCCAAATATAAACAAGTTTCTTGCATATAAACATCGAGACAGAAGATACTTGCTTAAAGTGGCCGCCGTGCAAATGTATTGATAACTTTAAATCGTCGGTGACGATTTTTACTCCAGTTGGATTTGCCATAACATCAATACCCATTTCTGTCCATGGATCATCGATTAATGTCTCACTATTCATCGCATTTTTTCTGCAATTTATTCAAAATAAAATTAATAAATTATTTGGCACGATAATTTTAAGGATTTTTTAAACAAATTTTTTTTTTATTTTAAAATATTCTCAATGCAATTTTATAAAATATATATTTTTTTTAATAGAAAATTATTTGTATTTTGAATACTTACGATACTTCAGCGGCAGTTATTGTCTTAATTTTTTCGATATGAAATCGTGCGTGTCTTCCTTGAAATCTTTCGACTATCAGAACAGATTCGGCTTCTTTGAGTGGACATTTTGAGTGGGTTACCCGAATCATTAGACGGGGCATCCAATGAAAAATAAGACGAAGAAAACCGCAAGTTGCTATTATAAAGAACCATGTTATCGCTGTAAATACTTTACTTTTACGATATCTGCAAAAAAAATTTGATTGAATTAGTAATTTCAAAACGTATTATGAAAACTTACAGTTTAAAAGTCAGTAACTTTCTATTTTTTTAAATTATTAATTTTCAAAAGCGAGAAGTTAAAAATAAAAACAGATAGTATCTGTGAAGTAACAAAAAATGCGGAAAAACGATACTAAAAATTTTGCAAATGATTATTAATTTTAATATTTATAAGGAAATAAGAAAAGTTTGGAAAATTCAAAAGTACACGCCTCATAATCTCACTTTCTATAGTTAAATTGATTAAAATAAATTACGAAACACAAATTTATTTATTTAATAAATAAATTTTATAATCTCTGAAGCCTTAGAAGGTTTTACAATATATGTAATCTATTTTTTAAATAAAAATTAAAAAATGATCAACCACAGACTGAATTCAGTGAAGCTTTTTATTATTATCTAATTAAAAGTAAAATAATTGCTTTATTTCATTTAATTTAATAAAATTGTGCGAAATAAGATAATTAAATATTTAAAAAAATTTCTAACTGTTCTTTAAAAAGAAATATTAAATTGCATATTTATAATTAAAAATATTGTTGAAGAAATACTAAAAACGTTTGGAAAATCCAAAAGTGCACCCTCATAATCTCATTTTCCTCAATAAAATTGATTGAAATAAAATGCGAAAAATAATATAATAAAAAACAGAAATCTCTGCTTATAGTTTAGTGGCGCCATAATTCTAAGGTGATAAAAAAAATACTGTAATAAAATGTATGCATAGTTATACAAATACACAGTCGTATCTTAGTTTTTATAAATAATAATTAAACGACAGTCAATTGAACGGTTATATTAATTGAGAAAGTCCTTAGTGTGTGACTTTAGACGATAAAAAAAAATTATTCCGGTACGATTATTTTTTCGAGCAATTTCCCTGTCACAAACACGGATCCATAAACACAGACACACGAACGTCCAGGAAAGATTATTTTTAATGTTATTATTTACTATGTTAAACAAAATAATTGTTATTGTTTATGTATATTTTATGTGCCTGACAGACTTTTTGACTTGATATAAGTGCACTCATATTATCCTGCAAGTGCGATATAAGTAAAAAAAAATCAATTTGAGTTTCGAGAAAACTCTTTTTTTTGAGATGTCAAGAGTAGAGCACTACCTCAACGCTTCGCTTATAAGGCGTGCAATAAAGAAAAGAAAATTTTTTCCCCGAGAACAAACTATCCCTTTAAAATTAGCAGTTACGGTTAATTTTCCAAAAAAAATAACTTTTTGTGATAGTTTTAAAATTAATAAATTATTTACACTACCCAATTTTGATTAAGATAAAAAAAGAATGAATTAAAATTAAAACTTGTGATATTTTTTTTTCAGAGTAGTAAAAATATTATCATATTATTTGATTGTGAGCAATTAACTTGGAAATATTTTCTTCAATAAAAGTAAATTAGGTTAATTAAAGTACTTAATAACTTAGGAGAAAACTCCTTTTCTTAACATGTTGAGAGTAGAGCACTACCTCAACGCTTCGCTTATAAGATGTGCAAAAATTTAGCATAAAAATATTAAAACTTACCCATATATTTCCATTTCATCTTCGCTTCCTGGATTAATATAATCCACTCCATTTTTACGCTTATGCAGTTCATTGTTTTTGAAATCTAAAAAAAGAAATGTATAAATAGCGATTTTAATATAACTACAATTTAATTTTCGCGCGTAAGCGCGCGCCTTGATTATAGAGTTTGCATATATTTTCATGCTTATGATATATTCGACCAATCACGTTACGAATAGTTTGATGCCACATATATTTCATCTCAATTTTATTATAGGACTAGAACTAGAATTTAATTTTCGCGCGCAAGCGCGCGCCTAAACTATAGAGTTTGCATATATTTTCATGCTTATGATATATTCGACCAATCACGTTACGAATAGTTTGATGCCACATACATTTCATCTTAATTTTATAATGGGATTTGAAAAAAAAATTTTTTTCTACAGACAGTTTTTCTGTCATAAACGTGTTTACTTCCGTTAGTTTTACGTCCGAAAATTTATCATTTGATTTTCAACTTATTATGAACGAAGTTCATAATTGATTTTTAATGACTAAGTATTTTTCTTTACTTGGAATTTTAAAAGTACAGAAAAGAATGAAGTTTTATACCTGAGGGTATGTTAGTTAAGGTTGAGACTTAATAATGAATTTTAATGTAGATATAAAGAAATTTAAGTTGCAAGACATTAGTTTAAAATTTTAAATAGTTAAAAGGAGGCGTTGAAAAGATACTTAAAGTGCAGATTTGTCGGTTGTACGTGATTGTAACTTTTAAAAGATTTATTATTTTGTTAGGATAAATTATTAAAGTTTTCTTAAATTATTTTATAATAAAAAAAAATCATTTTTTTTGTAATTTATAAATTTTTTAATATTAAAAAAAACTTTTTATGAAATCAAAAATTAAAACTTGGATGAAAATTTTTTAAGTGAAATTTTTTTGTAAAATAAATATTTTAATTAAAAATTTTAATAAATTGTTTTATATATAAAATAAAAGAATTTGATTAAGAAAAAAAAACCTTTGAAAATTTTTCACTTACCGTTTGTAATGCTCATAACTTTTTAAAATTCAATATAAATATTCCACTTCATTAATTAAATTAAAAAAATCAACGCATGTTGAATAAATAAATAAAATCTTCAATTAAATTTTTTTAAAGCCAAATTTTTAAATATTTTGATTAAATTTAAATAATAAAATATTGGAGCGATTTGTTAAATTTAAAAGCGTACTAACTCGAGAAGTATTCCCATGCGACTAATTAGAATTCAAGAATCACTTCTGCCAAAAGTAAATGACTATATATCACTTACTATATACTAAATTTGTAACATAAGATATTCAAATTGTACAATTAGTGTTGTATTGAAATTTGAACTCTTGATAGAAGAAAGAATGGCTGATAAGTCCCATTAGGGAACAAGTTCGTCGTTAACTTAACGATAAAAATCAAAGTTTGTATAGTGTTAAAAAAAAAATTATCTTGAGTTCTTAAATATTTAAAAAAAATTGCATAAAAATTTTATTCAATTTTTATAAGAAAAAAATTTTTTTTTACTTATTATTTTTAAACAAATTATTTGTTAAAAATCCTGAAATTTCTCTTTTAGAAAATGTAAAAAAAAAATTTTATTCTCCTTCAGTGCTAGATTATTTTATAATTTACAAGAGTGGAGGAGCTAAATAAAGTACAAAAAATTTTTTTCTTTAAAGAAGCTTTTAAATATTTAATAATATTATTTTTTCCAAGTTCATTTTAATTTGGCGAAAATTTTTTTATAGGTACTTTATTTTGCCCTCAAAAAATAATTTTTTAATAGCAATTAAAAAATAAAAATAACAAATTTTTCTTATTTAAACGTGGCAGTTTTTTTTATTAACAAAAATATGTTTATAGTATATTAAATTATATGAGTAATTAATAAAAAAAAAAAAAAATTCGAGTTTTTACTCATGTAAAAAAATCGTCTTAAAAATGTCGTTTGCTTAAGATCTTAAACGAGGCACGAACCAAAACTGTTTTAAGATTCTTTTAAGACGCCAAAAAAAAATTCCGAGAGCAGATTTTTGAAATTTGGTTCTAGAATTTGTTTTGAAAATTAATTTTTAGACATTTTTAACTGCAACATTTTTGAGTACGCTCTTTTCAAATTGAATTTGAAATTGTTGAAAAATTATTATCCGACAATGTTAAGACGCCCGGTTTAATGTTCCGGGGCTCTGTCGCTGTGAGCTCATCTTAAAATAATCTTTATAAATTTTTTAAAGATTTTTTTAGAACCAAATTTCAATAATCTGCTCTCGGAATTCGTTTTTGGCATCTTAAAAAAGTCTTGGTTTGTGTGACGTTTAAGATCTTAAACAAACGATATTATTAAGACACTTTCAAGACGATTTTCTTTTTTACACTGGTACTATAGCAATAAAAAATTTCAAATATTATTATAAGACAGTTTTTATGATTATTAATTAAAATAAAGTATTTATTTAACTAATTTAATTTAATATCCGATACACTGATAGAAGGATTTATTTGTATTAAATAATATTTGTTAATAATTAACAAATCTTTTTAACTATAAACAAATCCTTCTATCAGTGTACATATAATGTTAAAAAATAATGGATAAAAATTATAAATTATTGTAAATAATTTTCAACTCAATATTAGACAAATATTCAAAAATGTCTATTACAAGATTTTCTTCTAGGTTTAAATTACAAGAAAGATAAAACACAAATTCATTTAATTTAACCATCGATTCCGCTCTTTTCATAACTTTTTTCAATCGAAAATTAATAAGCCCCCTATACAATGGAAATACCAGTTCAACAATATTAAAATCAACCGTTTGTTGATCATGGCGACTATTTTTAAACCAAACTCTAAGTTTTCTAGTAGATTCATTAATTGGTCTATGCAATAAGTCATAAAAAGTCAGCGTAGAAGTCAAAGATCCCTCTTTCAAAATTTTAACTTTTTCAAGACACTCACAATACAGTGAATCATAATCTCTACTGAAATTTGTATTCTTGTCAGAAACATAAAACTCAGCAGCTAACAATTTTATGACATGTTCTTCAATCAATTCCACACAATCTAATTTGTGGTACTCCTCAAGATACTCAATAGTATAGGGTCATTCCATGTCAAATCGACCAATAGTTGGAATCGAACCGTTTCGATTTGGACGAATTTTGGTCAGAAGTTTTCTTTTATCATATAACGGAGTTCTGCCAAAGGAAAAAAAATAAAAAAATTTTTTTCAAAAGATGTGCAAACTCAAAATTTCGCGATTTTTCCAGTTTTTCAATTTTGTTTTTGTAATATCTCGAACGCTAGTATAGATACAGGAATGATCTTTCGTTTGTTTGAAAGGGGACACTTGGAGCTATTGAAAAAAAAATATTTTGGGAAAAAATTTTGAAAAATGCCTAATTTGTCAAATTTTGAATTTTTAAAAATCGTCAAAAATGACGGTCGACAATAAATTTTTTGCTCAAATTTTTTTATATACTACCTTGTACCAATCTTAAGAGATCCTGAAATTTTTAGAACTGTGTTTTTTGTTTTTTCAAAAATACAAATTTTTGAAATTTGTTAAAAAAAAAAAAATTTTTCTCAAAAATTTTTTTTTATATTTATATCTTAATTGAGTTTGGTAAATCGCGTAATTTCGATATTCTGAACAGTTAAAATGTCATTTAGTGGCATAACGATGAGAAAAAAATAATTATAAGAAAAAATTTTTTTTTAACAAATTTCAAAAATTCATATTTTTGAAAAAACAAAAAACACAGCTCCAAAAATTTCAGGATCTCTTAAGATTAGTACAAGGTAGTATACAAAAAAATTTCAGCAAAAAATTTATTGTCGACCGTCATTTTTGACGATTTTCAAAAATTAAAAATCTGACAAATTTGGTATTTTTCAAAATTTTTTGCCAAAATATTTTTTTTCAATAGCTCCAAGTGTCCCCCTTCAAACAAATGAAAGATCATTCCTGTATATATAATAGCGTTCGAGATATTACAAAAACAAAATTGAAAAACTGGAAAAATCGCGAAATTTTGAATTTGTATATCTTTTGAAAAAAACATTCCTGTATCTATCCTAGCGTTCGAGATATTACAAAAACAAAATTTAAAAACTGGAAAAAACGCGAAATTTTGAGTTTGCATATCCTTTGAAAAAAATTTTTTTATTTTTTTTCCTTTGGTAGAACTTCGTTATATGATAAAAGAAAACTTCTGACCAAAATTCGTTCAAATCGAAAGGGGTCGATTCCAACTATTGGCCGATTTGACATGGAATGACCCTATAATTTATCGCTACTTTTCCGTCTGAATCTTCTTTATTGATATCAAATCCTGCATTTAGCAAGCAATTAATAAAATTTTCATCATCACTTTTAAGAGCTAAGTGTAAAAGTGTAGTTTTTTTTTTACTTACTAAATCGTTTCTTTTAACGCAACTAAAGCAAGAATATCCTACATTAACATTTAAAACATTATTTAAGACACTAAGTTCATTCAATCCCGATTTATCCTTAAAAAAATTTTGCAAACTAGCGTTTTTACTCAATAAAAATTTAACAACTTCATTTTGTTGGAATTCAACGTCCAAATATGAAGAAATATCTTCTTGACAAATCTCATCGAGATTAGCGCCATTTTCAATTAAATACTCGCTTATTTCTTCATTTTTTTTACACATTGCCAAACGTAATGAAGATATCCCACGACTGATACTAATAAAATTAAAATCACCATTTTTATCTATCAAATATTTAGCAATTCTATTACGAGCGTAAAAAATCGCAAGATTTATAGTAGCGTTGTGCCGCGCCAGACAGCATTTAAATCAGCGCCTTTGTCTATAATATATCGAACAATTTCATTTCTTCCGAACAAAATCCCGAAATGTAATGGAGTAATATCCCGCCAGAGAAAATTTAAACTAATGCCTTTGTCTATTAAATATTTAGCGATTTCAACTCTATTATATATTATGGCTACTTGCAATGGCTTTACATCACACCAAGCTTCGTTTACCTCGCCGTATTTATCGATTAAATATTTAGCTAATTCAAC